GAGACTGAATGAGTGTTAATTGTGAAATTGAGGGACATGATAATGACTGAAGGCTGTTAAACAAAGATTTTAAGGATTTCACACAGAAACTATTTTACATATGTACATACCACATATACATATTATCCCAGGAAACAGACAGTCAAACGGTATTGGAACATTGGTAAAGGGTTGTTAGATGAGTTAGCTTGAGTGTGCATCTGAAGAGGAGAACTTGCGGCATACGTTGAATATGTAGGGGTTGACTCGATATATGTATGTATAGTTCAACCCGCTACAATATCAAAAACGGTATTTTCCAAAGAAAGTCGGGTTTCATGATGGAACTCCAACTCTTCGTCGGCAATAAGTGGTGTTTGGAATCCGATGGCAGCCTTCATGGGACTAGAGTTGTTAATTAACTCTCGCCGAATGCCGTTTATGATCTGACTCCATAGATGGCGCACTTCTAACTGAACTAGGTCTTTGAGATATACGTATGGCTTTTGACAAGCCTGGTAGGAGGCACGCCTTCAAGCATGTACCTGAAACGTTGGTCACTACGGTAGTAATGATTGCTTATCATGATGCTATACTTCTTAAATGGGAGAATAANGGAGGCACGCCTTCAAGCATGTACCTGAAACGTTGGTCACTACGGTAGTACTTCTTAAATGGGAGAATACGGGTCTCGCTAGGTAAATGGTGCTTAGGCGGCATCAGAATGCATTCCTTAGCAGTGGTAAGTGCAGCATTCTGAATGGTCTGGAGCTTCGCCACCTTTGTCTTCTACAGCTCTCTGGCTAATTAAATGTGGGTAATCTAAGGAGCTCCGATTTCGCTTTTGTCAATATTTATATCTTAGTTGGCCGATATATCGAACGCGGCGACTCTTTGCTATGTAGTTTTTCTTGAATATGGTGTTTGTTTTGATTCTTCTGCTTATTTCGAATTTTTTGCTTCTTCAAAAAGTCTGTTGCAATAGCTATTGGTAACGCTATTTAATGAACATCCCCGCTTCGTTTAAGAAACTTGCTTGCAGATATTCTATTATAAGATTCCCCAAAAGCAACAAAGAAGTTAGGCAGGCCAGCCGGAATGCAAAGTGCAAACTTGGAAAGTTACTGAGCAAAACCAGCAAGTGAGTTAACTGACACTTGGTCACTAAGATAACCAGTTATACAGCTTGCCAGTTACATATGTATATTGTATGTTGATGTAGGTAGGCAGTAAGGTAATCAGCAACTAGCTAGACGAGCGGCCGGTTTGAGTGTCGTCGCTTTACAACAAAAATAAAACAGCAGGTTCTGATACCAAATACAACACAAAAACACATTCAGAAGTAGTATCTCGCTATAGCGCATACATATTTCTCAAGATTTATTCTCGCGCTTTTCGCACACATGCAACGAACCGGTTACTTGGCGTTCTAATTTAGAGGGGACCTGCGGAGGCCCCACGAGTAGCAGTACGATAGTTAAACGTAGGCATTTACTATGCGCTGGTTAACGCTTCTCAGGCATCTAGATATTATATATGTATGTATATGTACATTTATATTGGGGCAAGTAAACGAGTTACGTATGTTTGTCGTCGACATTGCCAGCATTGTCGTCGCAATTGTGCTCGTTTTCTGTTGTCATTTTTGTCGTTGTCTCGTTGTTGTTACCGCCTATATTGATGTTCTTGTATACGTTTGTTATTGCCAAGCTTTTTGCAGTAATTTTCGTCGCGTTCGCTTCTGGCGTTCTCAAATGAAAACAAGTTTAATGACGACGACAATGGCGGTGACTACGTTGACAACGGCCGCTATGTATATGTAATGTTCTTAGTATATGTACATACGTATAGTAAGTATGATGTGAAAAAAGATGCAAAAAACCGCTTAATCTAAAGCAAAGCATGTGGAGAATACAGCAAAAGAAAAATGCGTCGTAGAAGCAGAAAATGAAAACAAAAATGAATGTGTAACTCACTTGGAAAGCCAAAGAGGCAAATTTGCGTGCGGTTACAAGGGATGCAAGCGGATATACAAATTTAGCTACATTTATGTATGTATGTACATATGTACGTATATGCAAATGCAACTGAGTAAGCATGGATATACGACGACAAAATTTTGCACGATTTTCTGGCGACTTGCCAACGAAACGAATTTAGTATACTAGAAAAGAAACCGTAAAATGATGGCGGTAAAATACACATGTAGGTACCATATATATCAGGCGGCTGCTGACGTTGCGCACCACACTAATAATGTTGTACAGACATAATAATAATAATGACGATGATGACGTTGTGGCATATGAAAAGCAAGGAAATGACGATGTTGATGAGGAAGCAACGAAGCTGGCACAAAGCTCGCGCTCTATGTACATATGTATGTATATATGTAGATCATAATAATGCTGTTCAGACTAGTGAATTATGTGATTAAGTTGTTGTTGTTGTGATGAAGCTTTGTGCTTGCTGATGAATGCTGCCTCTTTATTATGTATGAAACACGTTGCTGCGCATGACACTTTCTTCGAGAAAAACAACAAAAAAAAAAACAAAAGAGCAATGCAAAAGCGAATGCACCGTAAACGTTCAAATGCTGGGCAGAGTTTTGGGTCGTTCATGCATGAATGCATTGCATACACATAAACACGCTTGGAGTATACAATACTTATATCTTTTCTCTATACCTAACTGCCCTGGGACGTTTGCCAATTGCACGTTTTTGCAAATTCGCTTGGCAACCGTTTCTGATATGCACCACTGCTGCTGCTGCTTGGCCGACGCAGACGCAGTGCTGATTTCGTGCTAACTAGTGTAGATACACATCGGACAACAACGACACGCCGCGCTCGCCATTCGCTTGGGGTAACCTCGTTACAATTGTGTAGTGTCAAAAACGTAAGAGGTCGCTGCCACCACCGCCACCCTCTTATGAACCAAACCCAAAAAAGTAGCGCATACATATGTACAAAACAACCCAATTACAAGTGGTAACGATAAGTCTACAGCTAGCTACCCCATCATCATCACGGCTACGTATCTAGCTAAAGTAGAAAAACAACAAGAAGCACTATTATACACAGCTGAATTCTTGCACTACACGCAACAGAAAGCCACACAACACTACTACGTACAAAATCAACAACAACGTTCGTACATATAAATTTTGTATAAAGTATACATAAAGAAAGTAAAAAGTAAGAATTGGCAGGAAAATGTATAGAAAACATAAAATGAAAAAAAACTATAAGAATTCTCCGTTGCTAGATACATAAAACTGACGCGCCAGGCCGATTGCGAAGCACCACCGCCCAACTTAGTCGTAGTGGGTGTCAGTCGAGGGTTGAACGTATGTATACACCTAATTTTCTTTGAGAAGATGAATGCACACATTGCACTGTTTATATATAATTTCCATAGTCTCTGTGTGTAAACACTACCTTATAAATACATACATAAGCATCGATAAGCTAAGTTAGCGCGCTCTTGGTCGATAGTAAATCGATTAGAAGCATCAAGCGAGTTTTTGAAATGTATCAAAGGATACAAAATAATCGATAATAATGATAATTAAAATAACATTCTCTTGGCGCTTGGACTTTTGCTAAGCTTTCTGAATGTGGGTATCCATTGCTTCGTTGTCTAATCTAACCTTACTTAGCCCGAATTTTGATGTTCTTACCTTCAATATATTTTCTGCCGATATTTTTTTCTTTTTACTTCAATCATTTTAGGTTTAAATTTCTGTTCTAAAGTTCATTCCCTAATCACAGTATTACGTATTCTTCTTTAATGGGTTCACTTATCTGTTAAAATTTTCATCAGCAGAACTGATGCCTGATTCATTAAAACTTAGCTCTGAGTTTAACCTTTCAAAAGCTTTTATTACTCTTCAGCACACTTTTATTACTTTAAAGCAGACAACTAAATTATCGGCAATAGTGTTAGGAAGCATCATAGCAACACAACAAACATTAAATTGAAGACTATATGTGTCCCTTATCAGTCAGTCAAGGATGAATGTGCTATTATATGAACACAATAAATCAATAAATATGTTTTTCTTCGTACATACACACGTAGCAAGCAACTTTGATTTGAGCCGCAACGAAATTTTTCAACGTTAAGTTCTCTTATCAGTATTCCTTTTATCAACGTTCGATTCTTTATCAATGTTTATTTTTACATATCAGCACTTTCCCTTATCAAATAAAATTTTTATTTTTTTTTTCAATGTATATACATATATACCACCTATGCGCTATCTTCTTCAAATATTGGAATGTGTAGAGTAAATGCTGAGATGAGTTAATAGTTTAGAAAACGATTAAAAATTGGTTATTGATAAAAAATATATTTGGGAATATAATGCATGTGAGAATGGAAAATTTAAATGGAATTTTAAACAGACGGCACCAGTTAAAAATAGAAATTTTCCGAAAAATCGAATGATATCTCTAAGTTACAAGCGTCAAAAATCTCACCAATTCGTAATAGAAAATGAGGAATACTTCTTCTTCGCAACCCCAAGGATAATTCGGATCTCTGGAGTCCTCAGAAACTTATTAGAAGACACGTTCTCTAACGATTGAGTTCCCATTTCTATACGGCCAGAGTTTGTTTTGAAAAGCTTACATCATCCAGCAGATCTTCATTTCGAAACAGTAAATGGAAATACGAAAATAGTTTAAGGCCTTACACTAAACCCAAGCACAAATAAAGCACACACAAAACGCAACAATTATTTAACTACAATCATACCAAGAACACGAAGCACAGATGTAGATAATTGCAAAACCGATGATTAGTTAATTAGTGATCATATGTATAATGGACCGATTGACCTATAGAAATTTACAAGCTCTTGTGATCCCTAGCCACTGCATCGATGAGTTTGTGAAGATATCCAACAACAACAACTGTGTCATGGTGCTAATGTACTATGTGACGTAATGAGTATGTTACAAATAGTCTTAAGCACTTAAACTTTTCAGAAAATGGTATTGCTTTCTTAAACTTACCACCCGGCTTGAAGGAGGATGCATCAAATGATGGTGCCCGTACTGGTTGATGCTTATCTCGCAAACCTGCTTGTCGATCGGGTACAAAGGAAACAGCAGCCGGCAATGATTCGCCACGTGTTAGCGGTGGTCGCGGTACATTGGGATCATCAATGGCGCTACGCTTCATGGCACTCGGTCCGCCACCAGCAATACCACCACCACCGCCGCCGCCCCCACCATCACCACCATGCGTATGATCATCATCCTCGGAGGGGGGACGCTTCAAGTTCACCGATAACGCTGGTGGCACTGGACCCACTACACCCACGTTGGAGGCGACTGCAGCTGCCGCCGCAGCAGCAACAGCACGATTTGTCATTGACATATGATGCGGTGCCATATGTGAGATCCGCACTGGACGTACATTAGCGTCGTGCGCCTCCATTTTCACTGGGAAATCCATAAGACCGGTAGCTTGTGGTGGCGGTGGACCGATGCGTTGTGTCGCATAGCCATGATGATGTTGCTGCTGCTGTTGTGGACCGACAACCCCAACACCGACGCCCACACTAATAGGCGCACCGCTTGCGCTGCGATGTTGCGCTTGTGCTGCTGCAACGGCGGCTTGTTGTTGCTGTTGTGCCTGCTGTTGTTGTTGTGCGACCACCTCTCCATTCTCGTGACTACGCTTGGCGGCCTGATGTAAACGTTTCATTTGACGCGCGGCATCTAAGACAAGCTCAATGCGGTCGGCGCCCTCATAGTTGACGCAGCCGCGGCAAACGGACTCGGAGAAGTCATTGATCATGGCCCAAGGCATGCGGGGAAGATCGCACAGATAACAGTGTTGACGCTTAGTTTGCAGTGACATGTTGGTGGTGAAGGGGTTGTTGCTGTGGGTGAAGGTGAGTGTGTGCCGGGTCTGGTGGTGCGAGTGCTGGTGTGGTTGATAATGTTGTGGATGTGGGTGGGTTGTTGTTGTGGGTCGTTCAATGGTGGCTGTTGCGCACGAATGCGTTGTTTTTTTTTGGCGCGCACTTGCAGCACGCTTTTAAATTAGGGCTTAAGAAGTCGCAACTTGGCAAGTGTTTTGGATTTTAATTCACAAATTTAGTGGAGTGCACGTGTTTGTGTGTCTGAAAGATGTTGCACAAACTGTTTTTCACGCGCACGCTTGCCCGCTAAGGTCGCAGCTGTTGTATAATAACGTAATGGAACGGCCAAAAAGGTTACAGATGCAAACGCGCTTTCTCTGGTTGGAAGCGCGTGCACTTTGTTGGAATATAAAAATTGATTCGTCGCTTGAAATCTCTATACTGCCACCTCTAGTGCCTTGTTAAGTTAAAGTTTAATTGACGTCCATGCAAATTAAAAAAAAAAAACTTGACTTNAAACTGTTTTTCACGCGCACGCTTGCCCGCTAAGGTCGCAGCTGTTGTATAATAACGTAATGGAACGGCCAAAAAGGTTACAGATGCAAACGCGCTTTCTCTGGTTGGAAGCGCGTGCACTTTGTTGGAATATAAAAATTGATTCGTCGCTTCAAATCTCTATACTGCCACCTCTAGTGCCTTGTTAAGTTAAAGTTTAATTGACGTCCATGCAAATTAAAAAAAAAAAAATTGACTTTCAAAACATGTTTTCTTCACTTCGGCGCGCGGCAGTACTAATTCACTTCAAATGCTGACTATTGCTGCTGCTAGGCGACTTCATAAGCCGCAACACATGCGGCAATTGTGGATTTTCCATTTTAGCGTTTACCTTCTGTTTATTTATACTATTTTTGTTTGTATTGCATGCACTGTGATGGCAATATTCTCGTCGCTTTGTTTATTTTTTTTGACGCCTTACGCGACTTTTTTCGATTATTGTGGTTATTCAACAGCGCTATTTTCGGCCGTTGGTCGTTTTTAATACTTGTTTATACTGTAATTTTGTATTTTTCTTCGAACTCTCTAAAAAGGGGGAAATAAGAGAATCAATAAAATGTTGACTGCACAATTGAGTGACCTGCTTAGCGGCCACACACATCGCCAGCAGGTCACGAAATATGTAGTTTTCAATATCTTTTAGGAAATGTGGGTTTTAAACCAGTTAACTATAAAGCTTCTACGAAAACAGCTTTAACACGATTTACATATAGTTAGATTTTTTGCTTTTCCTCTCGAACCACGCGGTCTTTTTTGGAAAAGTTGCGTCTGTTTTGGTTTTCCTATTTCTATTATTATTTCACACGCAAATGCACCTCTGTATGTATACTTGTGTAAAACTGAAAATATCTAACGATTTACACGCGCGCACGTTATGTTGACCGCCGCGGTTACAATTATAGATTTATTGCCACCGCTACTGCGTTGCTACGCCCAACTTACCGCGCGCTTTCCTACTTACATACCTTTGTCTTACTCGCGCTACCTTGACTCGCACGCGGGAGCTTGATCACCTCACACTTTTCGCTAATTAGACGTTACGTATTTTGCTTGCGTACGTGTGCGTGTGTGTTAAATCACATGAAAAACACGCCGAAAAACATGCGCGCACGTTTCTATTTACTTACATATAAAGCGAGAAGTGAGCGACCGCGGCGACCAACAGCGTAGAAACGTTTTTGGTTCAGCGCGTAAGTAGCCAGAAGCAACTCTACGATAGCAGCAGTAGATTTCCTAAATAGCACAGCTTATAGATACGAAATTTTTCGCAAAAACATACAAAACAAACATTTTACATATGTGTATGTACATATGTACATATACATATATATAGATTTCTATATATACATAATATGTAAAATGTATGTATATATAGTTGCTTGTAATACATAGACGCGCGACAGCGTTTCAAATAGCTCAAATACGCGCACGTAACAAAGTGCAAGCCACGATTTACTTTGCCACATCCATACATATATGAATATAATGTATGTATGTTTATTATAAGTACAATTGTATATGCAAGTAACCGTATACACACGCGAAATTAATTATATTTCATTCTCACACTCGTTACTTCCAACACACTAGAGTTTCTTCATTATTTTCTTCTAAAGCGTTTCAATTTAGTATTATTAAAATTCTTAGCAACTTCTTCGGTTCTGAGTAAATTTTCTTTTAAAATTCACACCTTTTCTTTTTTCTGATCCATTCATTTATTCGAGAACTATTCACTATTCACACTCACTTAAGTGGTGTTCACACGCGCTCACTAGNACCGGGGTACTGCTAGTATAAATATGTAAGTATACACGCAAACATTTTCTATAATTACTGGTATAGAAAAACAATGAACTCTGAAAAGAATTACTATTTTATTCAACAAAAAAACTTTTTGTGTAACACAGAAAGCATATTAAGGGCCACCAACTTACCTATTTTAAAGTATAGTTAAATCGTTAACGGATAAGATAACGGCCCAGAAACGTAAGGAATATACATAGAAATATGTTTACTTGCCTTAAAGGAAAGGCGTTCGCTTTATGAGCGAAGAGTTAAATTCATGAAAATCATAAAAAAAATTAGAATGTCAATGATGAATAAATTTTGAAAAGGGCTAGGGGCAATTTCAAATTTTTGTGGCCAAAAAAAGAATTTGGTAGCCAAATTTAGCCACCAAAGGGCTAAAACGGCAACACTGCTGGCTAGCTGGCTGATTTGTATTCTCACGAGTGCAGAGTAGATATGCGACGGCTGCACAGTTGGCGGTGGTTTGATAATTTGCGAACATATTTATGAATAATGAAATGCTAGTGTTTTTGTTATCTGCAGTCCTATACCTACTATGGGCGCTCGCATACGAACTGTCAGTTTTTTAGTAAAATTGTTTATCTCCAACGCGACTATGTTTTTGATGTTAATTTGGGGAAGCTCCACTGCTTGGTCTGTTGGGGGCAAACCGTCTATAGCCATACTAATTGAAAACTGACCTCATTGGAGTGCTCTGAGTGCACTATGGGCGCTCGCATACGAACTGTTAGTTTTTTAGTAAAATTGTTTATCTCCAAAGCGACTATGTTTTTGATGTAAATCTGGGGAAGCTCCACTGCTTGGTCTGTTGGAAGCAAACCGTCTATAGCCATACTCATTGAAAACTGACCTCATTGGAGTGCTCTGAGATTTCGGAATCATACTTAGTAACATGAAAATTGGATACCTTCGGCGTCATCTGAGTTACCTGAAGTTATCCTTTTAATAAACTTTACAAACTGTACAGACTAGTAACCCGTAACCTGGTGTCAGGTCATGAGGGCTTTGATGACAACGAAGGGACGAAAGTGACCTCCGAAAGAATATATGGAGGAGCTGGGGTCTTAAAGTTTAAAAGGCAATCCAAGAGATTTATACCACCTCTCGCTGAGTCTCTGAAAAACTCCTTAATATTAGTCAGAAAGATCTAAGAACCCTTAGTTGATGCCTGACCATGCACTGCAGGCTTACGTAGCCAATTGTATAACAGAAGCCTCTTTCGACGAAGAAAAATCATGCTCTAAAATTCCCTCATTATGCCCGTCTTTTTAAATGGCGCAGAAGCATTGGCAACGTCGAATAAAGGAAAGGCTTTCGAGAGAATCGCTCTACGCAAGATGGTCTCAATTGCATGGGCGACTTAGAACAAAGAAGATAAAATGAGGAACGTTGGTTTGGGCATGTCGTACGTATACACAATGTTGCACTGGTGAAAATATCCGCTGACCAGGCATTCATGGAGTGATAAAGAAACCAAGGATGGCCATGGAGGCCAATTATAGAAGGAGATGTTTCCACTTGCTATAAGAAACTGGCGCAACTGCGTAAAATAGAGAAGCAATCGGCGAAGTGTCCGGTTTTCGATACAAACTGATAAACGATTGTGGTTCTAAAACGAGAATAAAATAAGAATAACAGTTCTGCTAACCTAACCGGATCTAACCTATCTCACTCTAACCCTGACATCATCATTCTTTATTAAGTTATTTAATTTTTATTCCAACTCATCAACTTTTTCACCCACTGTGCATTATTACTCGTTTAGTGGTGTGCTAATACTGCTGTTCACTCTCTACTCCTCATTCCCTGCTGAAATTTCACATGCGAGCGGCTTCGTCGTGAACATTGTTCACATAGCACGACGTGTTTTTGACGTAGCGTAGCATACGTACATACATCCATACATACCTATGTACGTACAAATGTCTACTAAACGAAATTTCAAGTATACACACTAAATAGCAACAACAGAAACAATGTTATCAGACAGTGAAGGCAAATACAGCAAGCAGCCCCAAAGAAAAGCAAAAACAATTTCATAGAACGTTAGCGATGGAGTTTTGATAAACAAACGAAAGAAAAACAAACACAACTCTTAAAACTAGAAACAGCAGAGCGAAAGAAACAAAATAAGAACGAAAACGGCCCCAATGTTACGCGCAAAGGCGAAGTAGTAAAACAGGCTATGTAAGTATTGTAGAAACGAATAACAACAACATAGTCAGTCACTCAGCAACTAACTAAAAACATACGTATGTACATATTTACATATGTACATACACAAGATGCCAGCAGCCTACTCTTACAGGCCTCCCTAAATTGGAGCGCTAAGCGTTGCATTTTGAATTGTCAACGAGGGTCAGCGCGCGCTATCTCCAAATCAACGCGGCGTGATTTTTCTCATTTCCCTCGTTTTTATTCTCGAATCCTCTTTAACTTTTTTGTCCTTTCTCTTTCTTTCCGCCTTCTGCATCCAACTTCAACACGTAACACCCTGCCAGAAATGAAAATTCCATTTGCTCGGCGCTAGCGCCGCGTTATTGTGGGATGCTCCATACAAATTGTACGGGCATGAGGAGTTTTGAGAGTTGTTTGGCGCTTGACGCGCAAATTTAGGGACGGCAGTTAGCCTCTTTCGCCACCTCATTGCTCCACTACGCCCATCCGCCTGCCGCTTTATCGCCTTTCGTGTTATCTCGTTGCACTCTCTCGGTATTTTTCAAGAGTATGTTGTTTACAAATGTACAGACATACATACATATATTCTCCTTTCATGTTGTTGCTATTCTATTTTAGCTTAGGCCTCTCGCCCTTTACATGTATGTATACAATCTGTACATACGACACCGATCGATTGAGCCTCTGTAACAACAAAAGGGGAGAAGGCGCTCTTGCGGCGCGGCAGAGGCGGTTGACCGAGGCGCAACATTTTTGTGAATCACTCGTGTGTATAGCAATTACGCTTGGCTATATGTATATTGTAGATATGTATGCATACTCACTACACCCCTACCACCCTAGACCCTTTCTTCAACGATGACTATTATCGCTGTAAAATGCTGATATACTTCTTATTGCCTTTGTAAATATTGCTTTCATGGCAAATAACTAGCCCTCATGTTTCCAAGTCGGTGTGAATTCTAGC